CTTTAAATCATCGAATACAAAAATTTACTAGTGGGTCAAACATCGGAGAAATCATTGCTGGTATAAATAGATCAGCTGGATCTGCATTAAATCAATTAAATACTCCACGATATTTTACTTTCGATTCAACAGAAACATATATGTATATCGCTGATCATGATAATAATCGAATTTTACGTTTTTTAACAAATTCAACGTCAGGTACTGATGGAACTGTTGTAGCTGGTGGAAATGGACATAGCGATGCAACTACATCGTTAAACGCTCCATGGGGCATTCATTTATCATCTGTAAGTAATGATCTGTTTATAGTAAATAATCGTGGACACACAGTTATGCGTTGGACTCCTGGCTCTACAGCAGGTGATTTCGTTATTGGTACGCCAGGTATATCAGGTTCTAATTCAACTCTCTTATTTAATCCCACTGGAATTAAACTTGATAGTTATATGAATATTTATGTTGCTGATAGTGATAACAGTAGAATTCAATTGTACTGTGCCAATAGTAATGTTGGCGTTACCATTGCTGGCGATGGTACTTCAGGTAATAGTGCAACACAATTAAGTGGTCCACGAGGTATTGCATTTGATTCAGCAATGAATATGTATATTGGTGATACAGGAAATGGACGAATACAAAAATTTATGAAACTCTGAAATACTACAGACAAACTTCGTATTCATCAGACCTTCTTTTTAAATTATTAATCATGATATTTTATCTCGTTGAACTATTGCTTAATACTTCATATAAAAAAGAACATTATAAATACATAGCTTTTTATCGATTCACTCTTTTTTTGTAAATATCTTGCTTATTTCAATACTTTTCTTTTTTGCTTATTCAATAAATCATATGTTAATCTTCATACTTAGATGAAATTGTATATCATAACCGAATAGAACTCGACATATACGAATATATTCAGTTTAACTAGAAGATTTCATAACAATGAATAATATTTTCTCAATCACTTTCAGGGTGTGGGTAAATATGTACAACATCTACACTCATCCTCTAGATGATGTGTTTGATGGTACAATCATGAGGAAGATAGAGATGATTGTGCTAAATTCATTCGTCATTATAAAAATGATTTTAATAGTTATTACATTGACACATAAGCTTTGCAAGTTTTGTTTTCGTATAACTAAATTCTATTTATAAGGGTTTGGTTATAGATGCGGGTGAGTGTGATTAATAAAAGATCCACACACACCCATACGCACACCCACCCACACCCATGATTAAAATAGTACGATCATCGAACGAAGACTAAACTAAATTATTATCTAATCATTATTCTGTCATTTAAGGTTCGTAATAATAATTTTCTATTTATTAAAAAAAAATCGACATCTATTATTCTCTTTCTGGATGAAGATGGTGTATTTACATTCAGATAACATTCATAGCCCATGCTTCTTCTATCATCTTATGAATAGTTTGTTCGTATTCTTTACATGTTTAGCTTTGCAGTAGAGAAATAATGCAAAGATAAGATATGGAGAAGAAAACAAAAAAAAAGACAGGTCATCACGACTATTCATAAACAGTAGAAGCAGATATATAAGGTATCCTATATATTCATTTTCATTTTTACCATTATAGTGTTTATTATACAGAATATGGCCTTATAAGTCATTGTTACTAAGCATACAATAGAGATTGTGAGTCGACATGACAAGTATAGACAAGGACAGTATGACTTAAAAAATTACCGCTACTTCACTTTGTTTTATATGATTTTCTTTATTAGTACTATATGAATATATACTCACACTTTTCAATATTTCTATAATTTTTCTAGATTTGATTCTTCAAGCAGTTGGAAATAATCATGAGTATTTTGAAGAAGATATTCTATATTTATTTAATAATTCATCTTGTAAAATCTGATCCAATAAATCGTAATATTAAAATTGATGGTAATTTTGATGATTGGAAAAATGTTCCATCTTATACTGATCCAGAAGATAATATCGATGGTACAGTTTACGACCAAAGTCCATGGTTTCCTTCCTTGAAATTTCCTGATTGCCATGATACAGTTACCTTTCAACCAGATCCTATGCCAACACATGTTTATAATCCAAATGTAAATATAGTTGAATTTAAAATAGCTCACGATGATACATCTCTATATGCCTATTATCGTGTAGTTGATGGTGGAGTTATTGGTAAGACTTCCGTTGGACCAAATGAATTTGATAAAAATAATCCATTAGAATCGTCAGCTGGAACATATTATGTAATAGCAACAATTGATATTGACAATGATAATACAACAGGCTATTGGTTACACGGAGGTGGTTACCATCCAACTGCACCAGGATTTGATGGAAATTTTGAAGTAGAATTTTTTAATGGTTCATTTAATCAAGATGTTTATCTCGATCATGCCGCTAATAACAACACGGAAGTAAATTATTTAAAACATGAAAATAAAAGGAATCAATTTATATTTCGTCCAGCAATTTATGAGTCTTACACGGAATACATTTATTGGAAACATAGACCAACTGAAAGTGAAATTAAGCGATGTTTAGATGGACCATATAAACTACCTCGTCCATATAGTAATAGTTACATATGTTTTACTCATGATAGAGCACCTGGACCATTTAAAGGTATAATTAGTTATTCTCGAAGTGAAAAAGGTAATGAATTTGAAATGCGGGCACCATTCGAAGGATTTTTATTGAACAAAGATACCGGCCGACCAACTCTACAATTAGGGATGACAATAAAGATATCATTATCATTGGAAGCAAGTGGAGAAGATTCGATAGTACTACATTGGTCCTCGGATACAGCTGCGACAATTCAGTATACGTTATCTAACAGTACTGCATAAATATTCAATTATAACTTATTGCTTTTTTTTCTATTTAATAAGAATAATGAGTGCCTAAAATGTTTGGGTAGAATTATCGAAAAATCACATATAATTTCAAAATCTACTTTAGTCTCAATACTACTACAGTATCATTCTTCATGTGTTTAAATAGAAGCTCCTCCTGAAGCAATCGACTTGAACAGCGTTAGAAGTCTCCCTTATCTTAAGAATTTTTGAAGAATCTTTTAAAAATGTCTATTGGTATTTTCATAGTCAAATTTTATTAACTCTAGGAATTTAGGTAAAATTTTTTTCTGTAATGTATTTCTATCTTATAGCGTAAGATAAATGTAATACACATTGAATATTCAATATAGCAAAAATTTCATTTGATTTATATTTTGATTCACAAAACAAAAGACGTATATTTTTGACAGGAGAAAAAGACTCCGATATATTCTTTATGGAAGAATTGACCATGCATATTATCTCAAATGAAGAAAATATATGAAAAGAATTTCAAATAATAATGTGGCATTCTATTTCACATACTGCAATGAAAATCCATTAAAAAAATGATATTCTTAGATTCATAATTTCTTTGAAAACATCACACTGAGTCGTCATGGAAGGAAACAGTAATTATACATGGAAACAAGAAGCATGACAATAATAAGTAAGAATAAGGACATCCTAATGAGGAGAATGAAGTTATTCAACTGTATATTAATTAGAAAGGAAAAGATTCATTAATAATAGTTTGTAGTAGGAAAATCTTATATTCATATTGACTTAGCAAACAGAAATACTATGTAAGTTGTTGTTCGTATTTAATCAAATTTTATAGTAAACCTCAATTAAATAGATTTATCAGGGAAAAACATCAAACTCAACTATTGAATTTTTGACGTTGTTTCTCAGATTTTATTGAATACGTTATTAATAAATTTAGAAATGTCTACAGTTCTTTTGCCAATTCAACAAGCTATTACTCGTTATCTTTTTCCGATCGTTGTTGCAGTTGGAAATAGTGGTAATCTTATTATTATCATCGTCTTTTCACAACGTGGTCGTCGCACGAACGCATGCTCTCTCTATCTACTTTTTGGTGCCATTTCCAATATGGTCAATGTCAATATAGCTATCGTACCACTCATAAACGCACTATTAAATCCACCAGATCCTTTTTCTCAGTCTCTTGTTCTTTGTCGAGTACGAGGCTATCTTATTCATATATCAAATCATTATTTTCGTACGCTTGTCATTCTTGCATGTATCGATCGATATGCTATGACCAGTATGCGTGTATCCATACGAAGATGGTCAACAGTTAAAGTGGCTTGGAGAGCAATTCCTTTGGCATTTATTAGCTGGCTTTTAATAGCAAGTCACATTCTTGTTTTCGAAGATATTCAAAATGGTCGTTGTTATGTCTACGGACTCTATGGTACCGTGTATAGTATTTATAATATTATCATCAATATTCTACCTGGTTGTTTTATGTTAGTCACTGGCTTTTTAACAATGCGTAATATACGCCGTAGTCGGATGCGTATTAATCCAGCAGAGCAAATAATAAATAGAGAACGACTCATGGACAGAAAAGAACATGATCTGCTTAAAATTGTTATAGTTGAAGTATGCGTCTTTTTGATTCTTACTACGTCATTTCCCATTACTTTAATCTACTCAACATTTACGAGTAATATTGTTAAGAGTGACAATCGTGTTCGTATCGAAACATTTATCAATTTTATTGCACAGAGTTGTCTTCTCTATTTCACTTCATGTTCCAACTTTTTCATATATACTGCAACTTCGAAATCATTCAGACATGATATGAAGAAACTCCTATTTAGACTAAAACGACGTATTACTGTCCGACTGATGACCATCGCTAATTCCATAATGGGACTCGTAGTGCTTCGACCGCAACGCACTATAACTCACACATGAATTGTATATTAAACTAATTCTTTATCATTATACACATTTATACTTGAAATATAACACATAAAAAACTCAAAAGTTAAGGGTGTGAGTTTGGATATTTTATTAATGCCTCAGCCGCATCCTCATTGTAAATGTAACTTTTTTTTATGTCTCTATAGAATAAAAGATTATTATCTTGTTTTTTTTTCGGTTAATTTAATAAAGTCTACGCTCCCATTTGTTGTTCAAGTATTTTTACTAATAATAGATGAATACGTCTTTTATGTTGTTCAAAAAATTCTAATACTCTTGTCATTATTTGGGGCCACGATAATTTAAATTCACCAGTTTCTCTAAGAAATTTAAATATATTATCTAACAATTCGATATATTTCACTTGAATACATAATTGATACCATAGATAACATATATCTTTATTCGAACATTGACTCATTTGACAATTTTCATCTATTTGTTTGATAATATCATAATTCATTGGTTGTTGATTAAGAAGATATAATAAATAAATAATTTGATTGGCATGGAGTACTTTCATATGATCACTGGATATCGACGAAGGTTCATTAGCTAATTGATGACATTGTTGTTGAAGTTTTGTAGAAAAATCAAATGTAATTGGAGGCATACTAGGTGTGTACAACCAGGACTTCCAATCAACTTTTACGACATTTGGGAAATAAGATTCGAAATATTGAATAAAATCATCAGTATTAAGAATTCGATAACTAAATTTTACGACATATGAACGAAGAAATTGGCTAAAATCCTTTTCTGAACAAACAATATTATGTTCAAGAAACCAAAGTAATGCAGCACCTTTATAATATTGTGCTAAAAAGTAATAAATACAAAAAAAACAGTCATAGTTTGGTCAAAATAATATGTATTTGTATCTAAATCATGTTTTGTTTGTATCGCACTCATTAACTAAATACATTCGAATCATTGAGATACAAAATAATTCTGTTTTAAACTTACCACAGTCAATGGTTTAGGACAAGTAATTTTAGCTGTATATGTATTTTTGACACCAGGTGTATCTTGACAAGGATATAATGATCGTGAAAGAATCGGTTAACATTGACTGTACATGAAAGGATATTGTTGATCAGTAGTTTGTACGATTGTCATCCATTGTAATGCTTTTGATTTATCAGATGATGTTGAATAATAGATAAGAATTGAGAAACAAGAAGAATCTTTTAGAATATGTTTTATACCGATAGTCAATGAATTATGTTCGATATCGATTTGAAATGGAAGGAATTTTGTTTGGTACATGATTTTTTTCTATATTTAATTCATCAACATTAAGAACAATTTTTTCATCGAGCCTATTTGGTATTTGGTCATTATCGATATTTTTAATAGTGGATGACCGTTTAGATTTTTCTTTAATTACACGAATAAAGTTCAATTGAACATAATTGCAAAGAATATGATGATCGAAATTGACATTCAGATCAAAATGTGTATGATTGATACGAAATCGATTGAAATTTGAGATGGAATTGGGATCATAATAGAGATAATTATGATCAAACTACAATATATCATTTTATCATCATCACTTGTTTTAATCAACATTTAAAAATTATTCTTTAAAGTCTATATGAAAATAAAGAAAAACTGCAAAAATATCTACTGTCTGTAGTATGGTGCAACCTATATATACGAAGGTAATGACACAATATTTGCTGTCAAAACAGCTGACGAACAATAAAGAGAGTATTACTTGTTCGTCATGAAATATAAGTATGAGAAAATAAACCTTCTAAAACGGAAGAAAAGCTGAGATAATAGTACATGGATGATGCAATAAAATTCTATAACAATCTTGAGAATGAGAGTAGACATCTGTTATTCTTCTATACATCCTCAACCTGACAGATAAACTACTTATGCCATTTACTAATAATACGTCACTATATTTTGATCACAAGGTTGTTGAGTGTTAATATTAAAAAAAAACTGCCCTCTTGAAGAGAAGTAGAAAATCATGATATACGTTAAATGTTTTCTTTGAGGCATGAAATTAAAATAATATTCAAATAGTTATCCTTGTTTGTCTCAAGGGAAACAACCTATTAAATTTTTTTTTTCTTGCCAATTTATTACTGAAGAATAATGACTATAAAAACAAGCTGCAACAATAATATACACATCATTTTTTTTCAAGCAATATCGTAGCTAAACATTTATTTTACTGATATTTTTTTATAGATACTATATATATGAAGACATAACATCGCAGACGTATCATATAGATGAACTTAGTAAAAGCAGTAAAAGGATAAAAATCTTGCTAGGAAGATATCCGATGTATTAAAAAGCTTTTGTATTTAAGTTTTGTCTAAAAGCAGGAGGTATACGGACTAGGAAAAATCTAAGAGGATATGGGCACAAGTTGAGACTTAATTGAGATATCGACTTTTTACGAATTTTGTTATATATACGGATATTTTAAAATTATATCTCGTTAGTGCTTAGTCTAAAAATTCTGAAACTTTGATTTTGTCGAAAAAACGGGGTCCCATAGGAATACTCTAGTAAAAAGTCGATATCTAAGCCAAATTTCAACTTGCGCCTATATCTTCTTAGACTTTTTCTAATCTATACACTCCCTACTTATAAATAAAATTTAAGCTCCGAAGTTTTTTAACATCTCGAGTGGTTCCCTTGTTAGACTATTCATATCATGAATGCATGACTTTCATAAATATTATTTTTATTTTTAGCTTGCTAATGAAATGAATATATATGATATTTTTCTCATTAACTAAAAGATAATAGCAAAAAAAAAAGAGATAGATCATTTTCCATAATATAGGACATTGTCACTTGAAACATTTTTAAGTTGATTATTCATTCAGAAATTAAATAATATTTTTCAATTTCAGAGTTTTAAATGAGTTTTCATAATAATAGAGCACCTAGATAAATTAATCAATATTTTTTATTCGCTCATACATAAAATTATAGTGTATCTCTTGTCGAATAATTTATGTAAACATATTATTTATTTGATTCTTTATATTATTTAGTTAATCGTCACAATGTTGAACTTATATTTTAAACAACTATGGTTGACAACTATATTTTTATCAATGTATGTAATATCTCATGGAATAAATGAACAATACTAATAGATATTTTCATTTAGATTTTCATTTGAAGAATATCGAGCTCTAACTATTTGTCCAAACATGACTTGGTCATTTAATGGAACAACAATTGCTGGTTCATCGTTAGGCTTGTCAAACAACACTGCAGCATATCTTAAGAAGCCGCAGGACGCATTCGTTGATCAGAATGGCACTCTGTATGTTCTAGACAGTGGAAATCTTCGAGTGCAGGTTTTTTTTCCAAATTCGACTATTGGAACAACAATCATCAATGGCACTTCTGGTTCTAAGCTGAATCAATTCTATACCAGTAATTTTATCTTTTAATAATCAATATTTAGATTTTTTGGCTTTTATTTATTTCAGTGGATGGTATTAGTGTAGATCTTAGTGGAAATATTTATATCCTTGATCATGGAAATGAACGTGCGACTAAATGGGTACCTGGTGCAGTCAATGGAACAGTTGTTGCTGGTAATAATGGTATGGGTAATCGTAGTAATCAACTAAATCTTCCTTATGGATTCTTTGTTGATCCAATTACATTATTTATTTGGATTGCTGATACTTATAATAGTCGCATCGTTCGATGGGAATCTCCATCAACAGGTATTATTGTTTGTGGAAGTAATGGAACAAGATCGGACCAATTCTACTCACCATTTGGGCTATTTGTTGATACAATTAATTCGAATACGATTTATGTTGCAGATACATTTAATCATCGAGTTCAAATGTGGTTACAAGGAGCAACTAATGGCACAACAATAGCTGGCCAAACAAGCGCTTGTGGTTCGGGACTTAATCAACTCTGTAATCCAGAGTCAGTCATTGTAGATACAAATGGGTATATATATATTGCAGATAATACGTTCTGTCGTATTATGCGATGGAAGATAGGATCAACTTCTGGTACGATGATAGCTGGAGACTCAATATTTGGATCATTGCCAAACCAATTGTATTATCCATACAATATTAAATTTGATCCAAATGGAGCCCTTATTATTGCTGATACTTATAATAATCGTGTTCAAAAGTTCGTCGCTTCTTGTGGTGAGTTTCAAACATGTCTAAATAAGTTTTATCAAAATATAGATGGAATTTATTTTCTAGGAACAATATTTTAAAGAGTAGGTATCATATATGAGATATTTTGAGATTAGTTTCTATAAATTATTTAATGATTTAATCATGTTTTAATAGAAAATATAACAAGCACAACGTCAGCACCAATGACTAATCGTCTGACATAAATTAATACGAAATTTCTCTTATTAAAAAATCCTGTATTTTTCTGCTTTAAGATATCGCATCAACAACTCGTTTTATAAGATTTTCAAGTAAATAGATAAACGATTTTTCCCAAAAAACAAATATTATCCATTTAACAAAAAGAAACCGTTTCACTATTAAGATAACGAACAAATATGTGACTCAGTAAACAACTAACTCAAATAAATGTTTAATAAAATATTTAAAAATAAATTGAAATAACTATCTCTCATTTTGTTTATATTTTTAACAGTAATGACAAATTTATCATCTACATCAAAAGTCTCAGCTTCGCCAACCACACCTTCATCAGCAACTACAATAAGATTGAGTTCAACTTCATCCATAACATCAACTTCCACAACAACAACAACAAATTCTTCAACAAGATCAACTAGTTCGACAACAAGCTCAACATCAACAAGTTCAACAACAACAACCGCAACAACTACTAGTCCAACAACATCATCAAGCTCAACAACTACAACAAGTTCAACCACAACATCATCAGCCACAACAACAGCAACAAGTTCAACAACAGCAACAAGCTCAACAACAACATCAACA